AATGCAAAATTAACATGAAGCATGCTGTGAACTGGTTCAATAACAGACCTCACAACATAATTATGAAGTCACTCAATAGATACATTTGTCATGGAGTGCTGCAGGAATCACTCTGGTCCTGCACAGCATTTTATCAATAACTTGTATGAAAACAGAAGTCTTTGAAAATATAAAGGATTTGAGATGGGATGTAGGAGAGGAGAGTTGGAATAAGTTGCTAACACAATGAAGAGAATTGTTTCTCACTCTCAACACAGATAAAACGTTTGAAAATACTGTAAAAAAAAAAGTGCACATTCAGAACAGGAAATATGTCACAAAAAAACAATCTTGGGAAGGACTTCAAATCATGACTGAAACAGTGGTTTTATAAAAAAAAGCAGCAAGAGTTCTAGGGGAAGCCTCATGCTGCCATCTAGAGGAGACTGGTCAGCAGCAGGTTTAATCCCGTTTTTGATAGCCAGTTTCAATTAACAGTCAAGTCAAAAGCGGACTATTAAATTTCAATACACAAATATCTAATCAAATCCAATACCTCTGGACCAAAACCACAAGTCCCTTAACTTTAATGAACAGATCTTTTGGATTTTTCTTCTTATTCTCTCACTTATCTAAGTCTGTAAGAGAAAAGAACTTAAAGACAGTATTTGGAAAAACAGTCCTGAGAAGCTCTGTTCAAACTCCGCATCTATTTTTCTGTGAAAATTTTCCTAAGATAAATGTATATTATGACACACAAAGCATTCAATGTATTATAGCCTAAAGGAAAACAGAATTCAGTGACCAGAACTTAAAAGTTTTCATAAAGCTTGAAAATTCAAGATTTCAGTTACTATAGACTAAAGATTGTAACAGTTGGACCTCAGATATTTCATTGTTTGCTCACTTTGTCTTCTTTCCATATTTATTTGTTCTCAGTAAGGAAACGACCACCTTGTTAGCTTTAATGTAACTCAGGCTCTGCTTAAACTCCATTTATCAGGACAGAGCTGTCTGACATTTAAGCCTACAGCTTAACTGAGAAAGCGAACCATCAGTCTTTGTATTTGACTCGGTTTTACATTGTTATACCTTAACTTCTACTCCACTAAATGCTTTACACAGTCTTCACAGATGTTAGCACTGAAAATAAAATAAACTTGCAGGGAGTATGTCAAAACAGGCTTAACGATCAGTTAGTAAGAAAGCATTAATTAGGATATCCTAGGTTTACAGTCAGGAAGACTCTAAAGGTCTATTACTGCTTTTTGTTACCCTTTGAAAGGAATGTGAAAGACCTGTAAGTTTTAAAACTTTTGGTGCTTGTGTAGCCCAAAAGTAATTGCAACTAAAGTCTACGCTAGAGCAAAATTAAGCAGAAAAATTTAAATGTGTCAGTATGTACAGTTAGCATTTAAAAGAAACACAACACTCTTGAAATCCTCAAAGCTGGATCAACTTGTTAACAAGAGTGCTAAATACGATGATGAAAGCAGCTCCTTCTTCAAAAAACTGATAAAAATTGGCTGTTTGTAAGTGGGATGAAGGTGAACTTTAGTACTCAATTGACATCACCTCCTGCCATAGTTGAGTGTAGAAAAAAGTAACAGCTACAGAAGCAGAAAACAGTATGAACACTAAGTGGTAGGAGAATCCTATACCCAAGTGAAAGTTTCACTGTGGAAGCAGTGCATGAAGTTTGACAGAAGTACTGAGAAATAGCTTTAGTATCTGAGGGGGAAATTAAGCCAAGTGACCTGATTTATCTAAGGCAACATTACGTCAGGAACAGAACTCTATGTGCCACTAGACAACACCAGATTAGACATATGACCACTTGTTATTTCTGCTAAGAAGTTTCCCCTATGCAGGTAGGCTGTAAGTTGGAGATGTAAGCTCAGTCTCTCATCCTGTTTTGGAAGCTCACCAGCTGTGACTGTCAGACACTTGCCAAATCTGCCAACGCACCTTTCCAGCTACAAATGTACCACGAGCGCACGCTTTAGTGAGAAGATTTGCAATGCAGTCAGTCACATCTGCATACAGCACTTACATTCATCCAGTCCCAGCTGATAAGCCAGGTTCTGCAGCCCACGAACTTTTTCCATCAGGTTAGCTGTAGTGAGGCTCCCCAACTCTAAGGAGAGAAAAGTGTGAACTTTAACACTGTCTATAGCACTCTAGTGACCGTTTGCCTGTTTACTACTTCACAGAGCACTTTCAAGTCATACTTCTGACAAGATCTATTTCCAGTGAACAGAGTATATTCGAAATTCAAGCTGATGCTACCCCTGATTTTAACATACTGAGAAAAAACGAGCTTTCTCTACTGAAAAAGACAGCCAAGGATCTGGTTCATACTGTAATCTGCCACCGCCGCAATGGGCAACTTGCCCCATATTTTTGAAGTTCTTGCAAGTTCACATTGCTGCGTGAACAAGCTACAAAAGAGTATGCAAGGGAATGGACTTACTATACATTAACAATGTGTGTTTAAGTACATTTCTTGCAGCAAGACAAAGTTAGTTTGTCCCACTTTCACTTTGGAACAGTTTATCTGGAATTCACACGAGAGGCAGAGCATGCTCAAGGATATTTACTGCAAATAGCTGTAACATGCAGCAAATCTACATGCCAGCTAGCCTTTCTGTAACTTGCTCATACAGCCTTACCATTTGATTAGAGATCTTGGGTCTATGAGTGAAGACATATGCATAGCACACCTCTAAACAAGTCAATGAACAAGTCTAAGCTGCTCACCAAGTTTGATCAGCTGAGGCCCACCAAAAAATTCATGCCACTTCTCAAAATACAGGAGATACCCACTATACTTATGCAGTGAGAGATCGGTAGGCGAGGTAACTGAAATACATGTAACGTTACACTGTTTCAACTAGTTCTTGCATGCTTGCTTTGAAAAATCAGCCTGCCACTGGTACCTGGATATTCTCTTGGAGGTAACTGGATTAATGAAAAATGTGTATCATTAACAAGATAAAGGACTCCTGAGCTAGAGATTCTGCAAACGTGAGAGCTAGAGATCTAAGGCCACAGGGCCACCTTCAGAACGTTTAAAGAACAAGTGTTTTAAGCCTCTTAAGTAAATACTGAATTCCCATCTGCTTTAGCAACCTTACTTCCTGCTCACGATGTCCATACTCACCCTTTAACATATCGATATCATCATTTTCTAATTCAGCCATCCACTTGGGAGGAGAACTTGTAATAGGCTATTTTGAAAAAAATAAAAAGTTCATACTCAGACAAGGGCATTTTTAGAATTATACAAAGAAGTTTGATCTCGTATTGAAAACTAGTTACACTGACAGCAAAAATATGAGAGTTCCAGGTGCTCTGTAGAGATATTTTTTATGTTTGATCTTGTTTTCTAGCTTTCCCTGGACTTTTTAGAGTTAAAAAAGGCACATTACCCCCCACAAGCCAAAGTCAGCGTGAAAAGCGGGATTTCCTAAAGTTGAAAGCCTTTTCTTTCTTGCAAGGTGTAATTCTCATTCAGTGCAAGTTGCATAAGGTATCTTAAAAAAACCAACCAAACAAACATGAGAGAGACATTAAAGCAAAAGGATGACGCTAGCATATACTGAAGTTATAACTGAGATACGTTCTACAGAACAAAGATGTAAAGCCCACGAGAGCAAACAGCAGGTCTGCCCCCGCACGGGAAGGGGGGAAACGCGACAGGCAAGAGCAGCGATCACTCACGCTTTTGAAGGAGGCGGCGAACTCGGCAACGCCGGGCACTGGGAAGAGAGAACGAAGGGTAGCGGGGGGTGAGCGCCTCTGGCGGCGGCACCCCGACCCCCCGCCCGTCCCCCGGGGGCCCAGCCCGGCCGGCGCAG